CTTATGGTTCTAGCTCCAACAGTGCAGTAATACCGAACAATACAAAATAATACACACAAATCCCCAAAAATAAAAATCAAGAAATCAAGAAATATCAGAATTGAGCGATGTGGGTAGGCTAGTCTACATTATGAGATTATTATGGATAAGAGCGAGAATCTTTCTATTTGTTAAACGGCAGTCAAGCATTGATCATCATGTTACCTGAATAATAATAAATGTCAGCGATATTTATTGAAAAGCAGCATCAAGCTCATCACTGTGCACTTTCACCACCCTGTCAAGTTATTTCATCTGTCCAATAAACTGCATGGTTTCCCAAGTTGTAGTGGGAGGACCACACACCATATCAATGCGTGACTCTAAATTGACTTCGATATGATAGTTATTATATCAATATTTGCGCATAAAGGGGTTTCCACTGTCATTTCTCGCATAATTAATTTTACCAACACAAAAAGATCTCACCATTAAAATTGAACCTAAACTTCCTGTTTCCATCACAGCTATCGTGATTTTTTTTATAGGGTATGACTATAAAACTGTGGATGGAAACGTGGTTTATGGGAGACACACCACTTTAAGTCGAGTGGAACTGACAAAAATAATTGCAATAGTATACGGTCTGAGTGAACTATCGTAATTTATCCACCGTCTTCGGTTTCAGTCGGCGGAAGTACAGCTAGGCCCTAAAGCGTAGTCTTACACACTAACAGCAGATACAAATTATGAAAGAAAAACCTCAATGTAACCTATAGTTATGAATTGCACAATAAATATACATTTATGAATTTTTTTATACATTGTTTTCTCTTTATTCAACTTGCCCGCCACCCACCCGCCTTTTATCCACACAATATTTCATAACCCTAAACAAGCCAGCCCCACGGATATAACCTTGAGGACTGCAGGTTATGAATCACCCCCTGCACATCACTAGTGCACATCCCATAATAGTCACTGCTCACAGCATAACAACACCTCTTATGTCACGCCCCCCTCCCTGCCCTTCTCTTCCACAATCATATCTTAATTTCCCTCGAGCAGAAAGGCCGAGAAGTGAGACGCCGTCCCCAGTCCCCACACACTGTGTATGCTTGAGTGTGTGAAAGTCTAGGTACACTCTCTTCCCCCAAACTAATTAACAGAAACCGGCACAGAACAAACAGGCTCATAATCTCCCTGGTGTAACGTCAATATTTGGTTTGCAGAGATGATCCACCCTCTGTGCATACGCATACCTACACTACCAGTTAAAAGTTTGGACACACCTACTCATTCAAGGGTTTTTCTTTATTTTTACTATTTTCTACATTGTAGAATAATAGTGAAGACACCAAAACTATGAAATAACACATATGAAATCATGTAGTAACCAAAAAAGTGTTCAACAAATAAAAATGATTTTATATCTAAGATTCTTCAAATAGCCACCCATTGGTGTAGCGCCTTGATGACAGCTTTGCACACTCTTGGCATTCTCTCAACCAGCTTCATGAGGTAGTCACCTGGAATGCATTTCAATTAACAGTTGTGCCTTCTTAAAAGTTCATTTGTGGAATTTCTTTCCTTCTTAATGCGTTTGAGCCAATCAGTTGTGTTGTGAAAAGGTAGGGGGGTATACAGAAGATAGCCCTATTTGGTAAAAGACCAAGTCCATATTATGGCAAGAACAGCTCAAATAAGCAAAGAGAAACGACAGTCCATCATTACTTTAAGACATGAAGGTCAGTCAATACGGAACATTTCAAGAACTTTGAAAGTTTCTTCAAGTGCAGTCGCAAAAACCATCAAGCGCTATGATGAAACTGGCTCTCATGAGGACCACCACAGGAAAGGAAAACCCAGAGTTACCTCTGCTGCAGAGGATAAGTTCATTAGAGTTACCAGCCTCAGAAATTCCAGCCCAAATAAATGCTTCACAGAGTTCAAGTCACAGACACATCTCAACATCTACTGTTCAGAGGGGACTGTGTGAATCAGGCCTTCATGGTCAAATTGCTGCAAAGAAACCACTACTAAAGGACACCAAAAAGAAGAAGACAAGAAACATGAGCATTGGACATTAGACTGGTGGAAATGTGTCCTTTAGTCTGGAGTCCAAATTGGAGATTTTTGGTTCCAACCACCGTGTCTTTGTGAGACGCGGTGTGGGTGAAAGGATGATCTCCACATGTGTAGTTCCCACGTAAAGCATGGAGGAGGAGGTGTTATGGTGTGGGGGTACTTTGCTGGTGAAACTGTCTGTGATTTGTCTGACACTGTCTGTCACACTTAACCAGCATGGCTACTACAGCATTCTACAGCGATACGCCATCCCATCTGGTTTGGGCTTAGTGGGACTATCATTTGTTTTTCAACAGGACAATGACCCGACACACTTCCAGGCTGTGTAAGGGCTATTTTACCAAGAAGGTGAGTGATGGAGTGCTGCATCAGATGACCTGGCCTCCACAATCCCCCGACCTCAACCCAATTGAGATGGTTTGGGATGAGTCGGACGGCAGAGTGAAGGAAAAGCAGCCAACAAGACTGTTGGAAAAGCATTCCAGGTGAAGCTGGTTGAGAGAATGCAAAGCTTGTCATCAAGACAAAGGGTGGCTATTTGAAGAATCTCAAATATAAAATATATTTTTGATTTGTTTAACACTTTTTTGGTTACTACATGATTCCATATGTGTTATTTCATAGTTTTGATGTCTTCACTATTATTCTACAATGTAGAAAATAGTAAAAATAAATACAAACCCTTGAATGAGTAGGTGTGTCCAAACTTTTGACTGGTACTGTATCTCCCTGTGGTTCCAGGGGCCTATTAGCCACTGTAATTCCCACACAGGTGCATAAGCTTCCCCGCATAATATCACCAATGGCATCATGATGAGAGATTATCAGCTGTGAGCTCTTATGAGAGGATGGTGAGATTTCTCAAGACATTACTGGAACGTATAAAATGGAAATAAGGATGGTCCAATACAAGCTGATGATTTTTGTGCATCTATAACTTTCTCACTCATCATTATTCACGATTCATTCAGGATTATCCGTAATCATGGTAGCATCCACATGAATGTAGAAGTGTTTAGACACATATTCTAATCTTATTTACAATAAAAGTGACTACAAAATGACACAATACATTATTTACCATTCATTTCTATTGGGCACAAAATTATCTGAAACACAACCAAAGCAAATGCATCCCACAAATGTGTAGAGTCACAAGCTTGATGTAGTGTGCTATGAATATGGGACCAAATACTACACTTATTTACTACTTTAATAATTCACATGTAAGTGAATTTGTCCCAATACTTTTGGTGCCTTAAAATGGGTGGACTATGTACAAAAAGTGCTGTAAATTCTAAACGGTTCACCCAAATTAAATCTGACAGTCTGCACTTTAACCTCATAGTCATTGTTTGATTTCAAAAATAAGAAAAAAAGCTTCACTGTCCCAATAACTACGGAGGGCACTATAGGTCAAATTAAGATTCTATCTGTAGCACTCCGATAGTCTCGCGTTGCCATCCTTTTCAAATCTCGTCTCATTCACTCGACTATTGAATGGCAGTGATTGCTTTTAACGCTCTTATTTGATTGGCTCTGAGTAAGGCATTTCCTTGTTTTTAGTTATTTTTAGTGTATTTTTTTCTACTGTGTCGAACAAGTTTTTGTAGCCTATGCCGCTTTGGTTGTATATACATCCACGGCTAAGGGCTGTATCCAGGCACTCCGTGTTGCGTCGTGCATAAGAACAGCCCTTAGCCATGGTATATTGGCTATATACCACACCCCCTTGTGCCCAATTGCTTAAATATACCACGGCAGTCAGCCTATCAGCAGTCAGGGCTCGACCCACCCAGTTTATAATATGCTTTATCACCCTGATGCTGTCGTTGTCTTTAGTGACCAGACGACAACAGCGCTGCCTGGAGGTGTGGGGCGGTGGCTGTGGCTGTGATTGGCGGCTGCTGATGGGGTGAGGGGCTCCTAGGCGAGAGGCCCCCTTCTGAGGAGCAAAGAGACGCGCATGGTTTGCAGTGTTACACTCAGTGTTACACTCAGCTTCTGGTCTCACACATAAAAACCCAAGAGAGAGACTGTAGTGACGCATATAGAGGTATCCAGAGGTGATAGTTATCCCAGCGGTAATCACACTTGCCACAGTGTTTTGAGGACTACAAAACCGTTCACTCCCACAGGGCAACCGATGCGGCAGAGTGGTGTTAACATGCACAGAATACAAACAACCAAGGCACTATGGAGAACTAACAAAAAAAAACATTGGGTATATTCGATATACTTACATTGTATCAGTGAAAACAGGCATGGGAACAACATGTCTCTTATTGCACATCACCCAGAGCCATTATTCTTAATAAAAGGAACTCAGCTATTTGAAACTGAAAGGAGGGAGTTGGAAGACTAGGCCACAGGAAAAACATGCCTGAGGCAGGAACCATATCCCTCCCAGAAGCAAAAAGCATGCCTGCCCCTACAGTAACTAGACCTACCTAGGCCTATAGTCAGGTATTAATGTTTTGTTTTTTTTCTTTATAAGAATGGTTATACAGTATGACACAACTCCTCTTGCACACCTCGTTTTGAATTCCTGGTCAATTTCTTTACATGGATAGTTCATTAGGAAAATGCATGTTTTTAGAGGAGATGAATAATCAATTTTCACAAAAGCTGATAACATATTGTAGAGATGCTTTTGAAGTCTGTGAAAGCTTGTATGGTATATCTGCAGCCTAGTCTGAGTACCCAGAAAGAGGAAAACGCATGTTTTTAGATGAGAAGAATAAGTGGTTTGCTTTCCAGTGACTTCAGAGAGTGGCACGATATGACTGTGAGCTCCATACCTACTAGAATTACTGGTTCTTCACAGGTTTCTGTGTAGCCTATTCACTCACCTGCAATGAAGCTGACTGATGTCAAGACAACTCGGAGCATTTTGCTAAACATGGCAGTGAGTGTGTGCGCGTGTATAAAAGTTAGCTTTTAGTTGTTTTTAAGATTGTCTGAGAGATTGTACTCCCCGACACAATGGCAGCCAGAGTTTCAATACCTCCTGTGCTAAGGACGATGTATGGGATCAAGATCTCTGCAAAGCCTGAGTCCTGCATGATCCCATTGGTGTAGTACCAGATCTGTCAAGAGATAACAACAATCAACCGAAACCCCCAAATGAAAAGTGTGGACATTTCCGGCCACATCAATGCTTTGGCCTGCATGTCTCTTTCTGTGCACCACCCATATCAATAAATACTTATGAATAAATGATACCCCACAAAATTGCCCATCAGAATTGTCCACCAATTGAAGCAACCCATTGAGAACCACCCTGATTTAAAGCATTCCAGTAGCAGGTAGTTGGAATAGGCAGAGAAGACTGGTATTTATATCAATCCAACCGCCAAGATCAGGAGCAAGGGGGATTCAACCCCGATTTGCACCATTACGTTTAACATTTGCATTATTTATTGACACCTTCAGATGGACCTTGCCCAAATGCAGGTTGGAAATTATTATTTGTCCTACAAAAAAATTATTTGTAGGACAAATTGACCACATTCCGACAATAGCGATTGGTGGCACTGGAATGTTTATATTTGAAAGTAAATTAAAGTACTTTTGACATTAGCTGCTGTTGTTTAAATGAGGTCCAGAGTCCCAGTATACATCCACATAATTAAATAGAACACTTAAATATTGTATCTCTATGGATACGTCCCTGTCCTTTGAATGGCAAGCCCAATCGCCTGTCTGTCTAACGGGCCGGAAAGAAAGGCCAATTTAATGCCAATTACAGTGTAAAGGTCGATTAGTGATTTAATGAAGCACTAACATCCTTTTTGTTCTTGGTCAACTGTGTCCTTGGATTGATCTTAATTGAGCCTTTTCATTGTGAGCCCTCATGCTCCTACACTGTCATTAGCATATCATTTATTCTCTGTTGTGTTTCTATCACCCAGCAAAGTCACCGGTAGCGCATTCATAATGCTGGAAGTTTCTTGGGAAAAATACTTAGTGAAGTTCTGTGACTATATGGCAACAGATCTGAAAAAATATATTATAATAATAATCCTGAAAAGTACATTTTTGGGAGATAAGACGTTTCTTGAGGAGTGGGAAATGAATATGCAGAGAACATGGAAAATACACTGCCAGAAAGTATTCCTACCCCATGACTTATTCATTTTACATTTAAATTTAGCAGACACTCTTATCCAGAGCGACTTACAGTTAGTAACTGCATACATTTATTTTTCATACTGGCCCCCCGTGGGAATTGAACACACAACCCTGGCGTTGCAAACGCCATGCTCTACCAACTGAGCTACATCCCTGTCGGCCATTCCCTCCTCTACCCTGGACGATGCTGGGCCAATTGTGCGCCGCCCTATGGGTCTCCCGGTCGCGGCCGGCTACGACAGAGCCTGGATTCGAACCAGGATCTCTAGTGGCAGAGCTAGCACTGCGATGCAGTGCCTTAGACCACTGCACCACTCAGGAGTTATTACACCTTTTGTTGTGTTAAAGTGTGAATTAAAACTGGATTAGATATATATATATATATTTTCTCACCCATCTACACACAATACCCCATAATGACAAAATGAAAACATGTTTTTAGAAATTTGTAAAAATGTATTGAAAATGAAATATATAATTTACAAAAGTATTCACACCCCTGAGTCAATACTTTGTAGAAGCACCTTTTTCAGGTCTTGCCATAGATTTTCAAGTAGATTTAAGTCAAAACTGTAACTTGGCCACTCAGGAACATTCACTTTCTTCTTGGTAAGCAACTCCAGTGTAGATTTGGCCTATTGTTTTAGGTTCTAGTCCTGCTGAAAGGTGAATTAATCTCAAAGTGTCTGGTGGAAAGCAGACTGAACCAGGTTTTCCTTAAATCGGCTTGAAAATCTATGGCTGTCTAGCAATGATCAACAACCTACTTGACAGAGCTTGAAGAGTAAAAACAAATATTAATGGAAAATTTTGCACAATTCAGGTGTGCAAAGCTCTTAGAGACTTACCGAAAAAGACTCAAAGCTGTAATCGCTGCCAAAAGGTAATTCTAACATGTAATGACACAGCGGGTTGAATACTTATCTAATCAAGATATATTTTATTTATTTATTATTAATTAAAACAATAATTTAAAAAAATTGACTTCGACATTAGAGTATTTTGTGTAGATCGTTGAAAAAAAAAGCATATTAAATCAATTTTAATCCCAATTTGTAACACAACAAAATGTGGAAAAAGTCAAGGGGTGTGAATACTTTCTGAAGGCACTGCATGCAACAGATTGCATACTCCAATAAATCCTAGCAACCAATCTTGCTGTATTAAACTTTGCATGAATAACTCAGCAAGTCCAAATAACATCTAGACTGAAACAAATTGTCATATTGTCTGTGAAAGGGGATTATTATCTATCAGTAGGAGTTTTTCTTCCCATGCATCATGGTGTTTAAAACCAAGATCACTTTCATTACCTGTCTGTCACCAACTTAATAACACTTCCATCTCAACTGCAAAGCACCAGGCTACTTATTAGTGATTCCATTCTCAGATCAATATGTTAAAAAAAAATCCAATAGTTTGTTAAACTTCTAGTTCTAACCACCACAACCTACTTATTCATTATCTCTATCTGTCTGTCTTTATTTCTCAGAACAGTCCACTGTATTGTCGGAGATGAGAGCTGGCACTTACGGCATTCAGGCCACACAGCTGGTAGCAGGCCATGGTGACGACGACAGTGATGACATGCCAGCGCACGGCGGGATTCAGCAGGAGCTTGTTGACGGACGCCATGTGTAGGATGTTCTGGATCCGATTCTCAGCGTGCATCTCCTCCAACTCCTTGGACACGTCCTCCTTGACGAGGAATGATCTGAAGGCTGAGACATGCACGCACCCACCCACGCAGAGAAACAAACAAACACACACACACACACTACTCAGCACACAATGACTCCCAAAGTGCTTATTTTATTCAACAAAGATCCAGTTGTGGTTTGAGCTGTTATTTGTTCAATTGAATGGAAAATATTTGGTAACTTCCATTGTACAGAATTTTTACTGTAAAACTTTGTATAACTGAACATGTTTCCCACATAATCACCTGTGCTTTAATTTCATGCCAAATTTGCAAAAACTCTATATATAGTGTGACAGCAAAGAAGTTCGAACAACGCTCACTGTTGAACTTTGTTTAACTGATCATGTTGCCCAAAGAATCACCTGTGCTTTAATTACATGCCAAATTTGCATTGGTGTACCGGATTGCGGCGTTCTCTCCCCAGCAATCGAGAAGATTAAAAGCTGCTATAATCCAGTTTCATGCTGGGTCTGTCGGAGTGAGTGGCACTGCTTGATATTGCTAGTTACATGCACATGGCAGGGTATGGGGCTTTTATTTCTTTAGGGGAGATTATAAACAGTGACATTATCCCAGTGGAAGGCCTATTTTGTGTTCAGCAGGATGACAGTGTGTTGCTACAGTGCCGTGAAAAAGTATTTGACCCCTTTCTGATTCTCTATTTTTGCATATTCTTTACACTGAATGTTATCAGATCTTAAACCAAAGCCTAATATTAGATAAAGGGAACCTGAAAGAACAAAAAAACAAAGATTTGATACTTATTTCATTTATTTAATAAATAAAATAATGCATCAAAGTTATGCAACACCCAATCCCCCATGTGAAAAAGTTATTGTCCCCTTACACTCAATAAATGGTTGTGCCACTGTCGTGTCGCGTCGGCTACAGGTGCTCTTGCTGTAAAACAAAGGAGTCTGCCTATGCTGCCCTTTGATTAGAAAGTCTTTATTCATTATCACAAGCTTACAGCATAAGTTTACAGACACGCGTTGTCTGGAGAGCAGTGGCCTCGAATTAGAATAACCGCTCTGGGGTTTATTGTCTAAAACCCTTCTTATATAGACAATACCAAAATAAGGGTTACCCCCTCTTCTGGCCAATCACCAGTCTCCCCTCGGGCGTCACCCTCCAAGCGGCACATTTCAAATAACATCATAAAACATCCCCCCTCTGGCCTGAACAACCAACATTCCATTTCGTCATGAAAAACATTTAACAAAGACATAATTTTAATACACTACATATTCCCCCCTTCGAGACAAAACTAAAAAGTCTCGACAACAATAGGATTATGACCAGTAACAATTTATCTTATTGAGTATCTTTAACCTTAAACCAAAAACATTCTTCTCTAGAGTGTAAATACCTTTCTATGAAATAACTGTTTATGAAGTGTGAATACATTACTATGAAATATGAAGAAATCTCTATGGAGTGTAAGAGCGAAAAACTGTCCGGCAGCCATCTTTTCAGATATCCATCCATATCAATCAAGACAGTAAAATTCTCTCACGGTCCCTCTGCCCCAGGCAACCACCGTCGGTACTCCAGATAACTCATTAACCATGTAAATGCATTTTGAAACTATGATGCAATTAAATACACATGTAAGCCCCTGCAAACAAAATCCTATCCATAAACATCCATTGCACGGCTGGTCAACCCATCGAATCGTACAATGAATCTCTCCCTTCCTAGCCTCTCTGTCCCTAAACATTCACCGAAATAAACAAAAACATCTAAGATCCTCACATGTATTCAATAACATCAAACATCATTCTACAAAATTAATACCTGAGACTATTACACAATTATGTATTACACATGTCTATATTTCATTGCAAACACTGGAATGTAGTCCACTACACTTCATCTCCCTGTAGTGTCCTCTTCCAATGGACTTGTTGATGATGGAATCAGCCACACCCTCCTTGTTTCATCTCCTCCAGTCATATTGTCCCTTCATATTGTCTTTGTTTGAGTATTCCAATCTCCACATGTTCTCCCAAATGCTTCTGGAATGACAAGAAAATAAACGACCAAACAGTATCTTTTGCAAAACAAACACTTTCAAATTAAACCTCAATTTCACCTAAGAATTTAAAAAATGATATATAAATGATGCATGAATCACATAAACCTATTCCCCCCTTTGATTCATAAATCATACCAACATCACCCCAATATTGAGAAAATTATTATTATTTTTTTTTTTTTTTAATCATCAAAATGATATTTATCCATCAGTAGTCCATCCATCTTCCTCCAGATCAGGAACAGTCAACACCGGAATCTGAGTGTTGTCTCCAGGAATCACTCTCCAACCTATCTCAATATCAAAGCTTTCTCAAAGGTCAGTAACAAATTACAAACATCACACAGTGTTATCAAAGCTGAAACTAAAATCTGACCCATCACTGCCCCTACTGGCCTAATTGATCTTGCAACCAAATCTTCTCAGATCTCCCAAACACATCCCTTATAATGCATCTATAACCCCAGTGATCTTATCTGAACTATCTGGACTCAAAGTATAACTAATATTTATCAATATGATCTTCCCAAATGTTACACCATACCATGAATAAAGTCCCCCCTTCTCCCTGACCTTATCCTTCAATGATAAGCTTGAAGACTATGACATGTCGCCATGTCACCCTTTTAACCCTAGATTTAGCTGTGTCCAATGCTATCCCTCTTATAATGGTAAAACCTCATATGGAAGCTTCAACGTTAACATGTAACAAAATCCTTTCCATCCATAATGTAAGAATATATATGCTTTTATCATCCCAAACCCTCTAAATATCTCTAATATTCCACATAATCTAATTGTCAGGCACAAGCTAATCTTTTAACCATCAACGTCCTGCTCTTCTTACTACCTGCTACCTAAAAAGTAACATATTTCTCATTACTACCCTTAAGGTCATGCTTATCCAAAGTTATCATATAACATCCCAATCTGATCTTCCCAGGAACACACCCCTTACCTCATATGTTTTATTAGAACAAAAACAACTTTTAGCCCTCAATGTTTCACCTGAATACTTCAGGATTCTGTTGTTACCTGCTTTTCCTTTCCCATTTAACAATTCCCATATTAATTCACTTAACCCAATTCCACCTAACCCTAGGCTTAAACCACTGTTCTGACAACGACATTATTCTATCTGTCAATGACTGTTGCTGATACCACAGTCATGACAAATCATAAGACTGAACCACACCTGATAGAGGCCGCGCAACCGTCTAACATGTTTGGGCTGGAATCCTCAACAGACATGGACCTTCAAGATTCCTCACTGATCTTACAGAATGAGTTAATCTATCTCTAATTTCCACAACAGAAGAACGAGCGGTACTGATCAGATACCTCTCTCTGTCTGTCATCAAAATCAAAGATCTCATCCTGTCCTTTCATGATGAATCTATATTCTCTCTACTACTCTCTGTTCTCCTATTTTAACCCTATTCGTACTATCATTGACAGCACTCTCCATCCGTAACCTAAACCCCTGAGTCCTTCTTGCTAACCCCCTTTAATTTCAGAACAGTTGTTGTCGATGCCATACTCCCTACATCGTATCATTAATCCCTTCCAAAGTTACCATTAAAGTAGTTGATTTAGTTGCTGTATCAACCCTAATTACTTCTAATGCAAAAGTTCCCATTATCCTCTGTGTATTATCTACTGTTGGAGTGACTGTAATCTACTCTTCCTGACCTCCTTTGGTGACTCTGGAGGCTACAAACCTTAACTCTTCCATTATAAGCGTTACTTTATGAATTACATAGCCCTTTAACCAATAATTCTTAACCGGAACAAATTCTAATGCTTGCACTAGATAAGTACACATATTCTCCCTGACCTTTCTCTGTAACATTACGCAACATAAGTGAACAGTCACTCCTAACCCTCTTCTAAACTATACCTCCTTTTACTCCTGGTCCTGATAACAATACTTATTCTCCATAATTATCTCTCCATATGGGAGAAACGTCCCCATCCTAAACCCTAATAAGTATTTTTCCCCCTAAAATTGGTGCTGTATTGGTTCCCTTATAATCAAATGCGATATATTTATGACTTTAATACCTATCAATGTTGAAAGAGTTAACTTGCTTCTCACTGTTGTTATAATAGACTGAAGTGTGAATGTCCTTAGTTACTCCTAGTTTTTCCCCCAATATAAAAGTTGTCTTTGCTTGTCCTTCCATCTATCACCACTAGTGTCACTTTTTCCCCAAATCTCAGTCCTTTCTCTAAATCCCTGACTTTCAAACTTTTGATTACACAAAATACACCCATAATTACCTTGATCTCCCTGCTGGGAACTGTAAATATAGATACTCAATCACCCTCAATCTTCTCTTATCATTCAGCAACACATACTTTCTCAATGCATCTGCTCCTAACCGATCTAAACTCCTACCCTATCTTCCCACTAAACTTTAAAATGTCCTTCCTCACTGTTCTCTCTCTGTCTTACTACTAACTTTGAAACTTAGCTTACTGTCTCAGAGTTCTTTCAACCCTAATCTACTCCTAACTTATTTTAATCTAATATTTTCTCTCATAACATTTAAAACCTTTTCCCCTGATTTTCACAAAATCCCTTACCACCAAATTTGTAGAATATGTGATTGGGAAAGTTCCCCACCTGCTTCTGACTCATTACACACAGACTTGGCAAAACGACTAAACACCTTTTAGCCTAGCCTGAAATCTCTTAGTGTAAGAATGTCACCCAGAATAAACAGTCACCCCTTTTAACTTTATTTTCCCAGACAGTGTCTAATAGACAGAACAATAGATTATCATCCTTCCTATGATATTATCTTTTTTTTTTTAAACAAATGATTCCCAAAAACCCAGTCGTCTAGTGTACATCTTATTGTAAACTTCAATTTAAACAATACATCTCTTCCCAACACTGCCATAACAGTATCTTCTAATATTAGTATTTTAAGAGTAAGTAACTGTTTTACTACCTCAAATCCCTATCCTAATTCGTTATCAATTAGTGAGATGTTTAACCTCTTTAGGCTGAACCCAAATAAGTTTTTC